CCATCGCCGCTCCCTTCACCGCATAATGGCTGAGAAAACCGCCCAGCAGCAGCCGCCATCGCCAGTGCGGTCTGGCATGAGACACAACGAGGATATCCGGTGCATCGTGTCCACGATTCTTTTTTTCCTCGTCTTTGTGATTACTTGGCACAATTTCTCATCGCCGCTGGCGGGAGGCTGGGTTTCGCTTACACTATGGTTGTCGCTCTTCCAGCTGTCCTTTATGGGCGCTGTGACAACGCATAATGCGATTCACTTGCCCGTCTTCTGGAGTAGGAACTGGAACAACTTCTACCAGATTTGCTTGTCTCTTCAGTACGGCGGCGCTGTCACGGTCTTTATCCCAGGTCACAATCTGTCTCATCACAAATACCCTCAGCAAGCAAGAGATGTCAGTAAGTAGCTTACTTCCTTCCTATTCAGACTCAATCGTCTGACAGGAAATTAAATACCTCAACCTCTCCACATATGACATTGCTGACCGCATAAACAGTGCGCACCACTAAAGTCCGATATAGCTGGAACCTCTTGAACGGTCTCTTGTTTTTCTGGCATGTTGTTCTGTCGGGTAACAAAGATGACAAGCTATACTTTGAGGCCCAGGCTCGTCTCAATCGACCTATCGTCAGGCAGCGCCGCCGCGAAGAGATTGCTGTCTGGGGTACTACTGCGGTGCTCATCTTGATCGATTGGCGTCGATGGATCTGGTTCGCACTCTTGCCCCAGTTCTACGCAAAGTACTGCATCCTCTCATTGAACTTCCTTCAGCACGACGGCTGCGATATGAGCTCAAAGTATAATTTTGCGCGCAACTTCACTGGCATAACGCTCAATTACTTGTGCTTCAATAATGGCTATCATACCGTGCATCATTTATACCCTGGTCTGCATTGGTCTGTTCTGCCGCAGAAGCATCAAGAGCTCATTGGGCCTCATATCGCTGAGAGTCTTGAGAGCTCTAACATATTAGTGTATATGTGGAAGAGCTTTATTTATCCTGGCCTTCGTCTTGACTATAAAGGCCGTCGGCTTGTGATTACAAAGGAGGAAAACGAGATGCCTGACGAACCGTGGTTTTACGATGGGTCAGAGACGTTCTCAAACACGAAGGAATACCTTTCTCAGGGTATGAAATGAGCGCATAGCATCTTAGCCGGAGTTGTGGAATATAATGCTTGGAGCCTGTATATACTATAGATATAGATACCAAAAGTCCATTGTGCCAACATTAATGTCTATAGTTTGCATTTACATCAAAGAGAATCCATAGTTCACAAAACAAACCATCTTTAACATCGATAATAGCATTATTACTAACTACTGTGAGTTTAAAGCTTCTGGGCTATAGAAGCAGATCCACCGAGGCCAATTATGAGTAGAGGGCGGAATTACAGTGGACATCATTCCGCATAGGGAAAGTGGATCTAACCAAGCATCAGACATCCAAGCTCTGGCTACATACCCTAAGCCTAATTGCGTAGGTTCTGCTTGTGATTTAATTAATAACAACTGCAGTGTGATATACAGGCTTTAATGCAGATAGTAAGCAGTAAATAAATTTAATATTATAAATCTTTACAGATAATAGAAATGCCACTTACAGGTTGTGATTATTACTGATCTCCTAACCTACTGAAAGAAGTTTAGTGTAAACATAACCTCTGTATACTTGTCATCATCCTGTGGCTCGTTGATATAAATATTCACTCTACAAGTAGTAATTCGCAGACTCCAAAGACTTCAATCTTATTATCTTTGATCTAGTACTAGGATTTATTTAACAAAAGATATACTTGTTGCCAAACGCTTCAGCATTTATTCCATCCAGTTTCCAGACACCATCATGATCAAAGTTCTTTTAACAGGTTTGTTCTTATCATGATTGCTAATAAAGCCAGAATGCTAAACCTTTCATCAGGAGGGAGCGGTTTCATCGCGTCACACGTCCTCAGAATTCTCTTGGATCGCGGTCACTCGGTCATAACCACTGTTCGATCCCAGGCCAAGGCAGACCATATCAAGAGTACTTATTTTGATGTTTCTTCATCCCGACTCGACTTTGCCATCGTTGAGGATATTTCTGCTGAGAATGCATACGATGAAGTGATGAAGTCAGCTCCTTTTGAGGCTGTCATTCATACAGCGTCACCTTTCCAGCTCTGGGGCGACGACATCAAGAAGACTTTTATGGATCCGGCCATACTGGGTACCACTGGGCTGCTTGAAGCTGTCAAGGCTTATGCGCCAACGGTCAACCGTGTTGTATGCCAGAATTGTCTGATGATATGTACTGATAGCTGATATGGTCCTAGGTCATCACTTCGTCTCTCGCGACAGCTGCTGTGGTGCCTGTTAACTCAAGCTATGTCCATTCTGCGAAAGACTGGGTCGAAGTGTCGGAAGAGAAAGCCTACTCAAATCCATGGGACGGCTACGTTGGTGAGTTACACCCGAACAGAGTGAAAAGTCCTTAGTGCTGATTAATACAGCAAGCAAGGTATATGCCGAGAAGGCGGCGTGGGATTTTGTAAAGAGGGAAAATCCACAATTTACCATCACAACAATTCTCCCTGCTTTCGTCCTCGGTCCAATCATCCATGACGTTGGCTCACTCGATACCATCATGACTTCGGGGCTACTGATCCGCGATTTCTTATCTGGTAACTACAAAGATGAGATCGCACCAAGCCCAATTGGCCGCTTTACCGATGTCAGGGATGCAGCTATGGCGCACGTCAGAGCCATTGAAGTCAGGGAAGCCGGTGGACAACGGTTCTTGGTCGGCAGTGGCACATACTCCAACAGACAAGTGGCTACTATCTTATGGAAGAACTTTCCAGCTCTTCGATTCAAGCTCCCGGGGCCAGAGGTCAAGTCTGGTGATTTCCCAGTTGGAGGAGTGCCCGATTTCGATGTTGAGCCGTCCAAGAAGATATTGGGTATGGTGTATGCAACTCTTGAGGACACTATCGTTAGCATGACTGGTTCTATGGTTGGGCTTTACAAAGAGTGAGAGATATTTATATTAGCTAGATAGTGCTCAGACCTCCGTTGTCGTTTTCTGTATAGCATTGGGTGCACCAAGACCATTATACACAGCCTTACGTCGCCACGTCTCAATATAATCCTCTGCCCGCGCGCGATAATCCTCGATAGGGCTGTATAGCTGTACGAGTACCAGAGGAAAGAAGAGCCTGACATGGACGCAGGTCGACTTCCTCTCTTTGAGGAGCTTGACACAGTTCAAGACCATTTCGCAGCCTTGAAGGAGATCTATTCCAGATTGAAGAGTATGAGTTTCCGTATGAAGCAGTGCAATGAGTATCCATGAGCAGGCAAAGTAGGAGAGCGTTAGCGTCATCACGCCCTTGAAGGAGTCTTTTTGCTCATCAGTTAGGCTCTTTTGGACCTCCTGAAACTCTTTCCACAGGTTGTCAAGCTTTGACGGTGCGTCTTTTGGATAGCGGGCTGATTTATGTTGATAGCGTTTTCTGATGTAGAAGTCGGTTAAGATATATAGCTCCACAAGTAGACGATCGAATACAAAGTCTCCAGCGGCGATATATTGGCTACAGAGATGTTCGAACACAGGCCAGGTGTCTGAAGCATTGGATAAGTAGGAGCGTGGGGACATTAGCATTGCTAGCAACTATGGATTTATGTTAGCATCCGACGATTCACGAACTAAGAGGGCTAAGGCTTGCATACCTGTTGACATAGACAATGATTGGCAGCTTGCCATAAAAGCGGTTGCGTGCTGATATCACCTGCAGCTATCAGCATCCTCCAAGCACCAGATAAATGCATCCCATATGCATCCGACGTCAAGATGGTGGGTTGGATAGCCTCAAAGAAAGACAGCATCACTGATGTGCATACATTAGGCACAATGGATGTTGAACTTGCCGCGACTGCCCTCGAATGACCCCGCAGCGTCTGGATGTACAACTCGGTTGCCTTCTGAGCCGCTGATTTGTTTCCCGACACAGTCGCACAGAAAGCTAAGCCCACAGCCTGGACAGCAAGGCCAAGGGTTGGTGCCGTTTCCTGAAGTCGTGTCTTTTGTAGCTCCTCGAGAAACGACTTGACCGAGGCTCTTGCATCTGGGATAGCAAAAGCAAAGAATCCGGCTTGGAAAGCGACGGCCTCAACAGCCGAATTAGACACGCGGAGATTTGACAATGGTCCAGTCTGGCTCTGCGTGAATGTATGCCGTGGTTGGCTGTGCTTTTTGGTGGTTTTGGCGGTCTGGTCAATGATGATGACTGACGTTATTGGACCAGAGCATTGTCGATTCCACTGTTGGCAGTTGTGGCAGACTGGATATTGGCCATCGCAGCCTATACGCCTCTGCCGGCAGGCTTGGCAACCTCGGCTGCGGCGCGGCATCTCAAGAAATCGAGCAACGTTTCTATTCTCTCGTTTCGAACTAAGATACTCTCGGTAGGTATCGCGAGGAGGGTTATGTACTTTAAGGATGTTACTCTGGTATGTGAGTCTGATGTCAGCTTTACGCTATGCCCATTCGGGTAGCTTTCGCTAGTGTGTTCAGTTTGGGTTGTTGATTGGTTGCTAAGTCTCGGCGTAAAAGGCACTGTAAGCGGGATCTTGCACATGTGCTCTATGTAGCCAAACCTTGGTTTAATAGGTATTGTAAGCGGGATTCATTCAAAGTTATGTGAAGCTAGCATCGGGATACTCTGTTTAGCCTAGCTTGGTTCTACACTGTAAATTAATTCCTTAATTTCGTCGGCAAGTTTGATCAACATCCCGAGTCATAGATCCAAATGATAGATCTAAGCAGACAAACATAGCTTGAGTAATTGGATGACGTTGGACACTACGTAATTACTGCCAGACGCATCCGACTGTCTGTAACAATTATAAAAGCACCTCTGCTATACCTGTTAAATGAACCACATCCACAAGAATTATACAACAGTTTTACTTCTAATTCCTGCCTCACCCAAGGTTCAAAATCAACTTTGACCGCTCAAACTATGTCTGCCAATTATTGTACGATCCCAACTGCGGCAATCAAGCAGCCTAAACCCTTTGTCGTGCGTCATACCGATGAGCAGCTACGAGATTTTAAGACTGCTATTGAGTCTACCAAGCTTGGTCCAACTACCTATGAGAATCTTCAACAGGACCGTAAGTATGGAGTCACCTCGCAATGGCTCCGTGAGGCCGTGGAGGCATGGAAGGAATTCGACTGGTAGGCAGTAGACATGCTCTTTTTCGCTGTAAATTACTAATATAATCATTTATTCCTAGGCGCAAGGTAGAGGGTGAAGTCAACCGGTTCCCCAACTTCACGGCTGAAGTTGAGGACAATGGTGTCTCATACACCATACATTTCATGGCTCTCTTTTCCGATCGGGATGATGCTATACCTATACTCGCTCTACACGGTTGGCCAGGAAGCTTCCTCGAGTTCCTGCCTATATTCTCTCGGCTATCCGCCAAGTACAGTCCCCAAGAGCTCCCATATCACATCATTGTACCTTCACTCCCTGGATATGCATACTCATCAGCTCCACCACTGGACAGAGACTTTCGTCTTGAGAATGCCGCCAACATCCTGGATTCTCTGATGGTCCAGTTGGGATTTGGGAATGGCTATGTCGTTCAGGGCGGTGATGTCGGGAGTAAGATTGCACGCGTCCTTGGTGGTACCTTTCCAAGGGCCAAGGCCATTCATCTGAACTTTTCGATTATGCCTGACCCTGGGAATATCGACGAGAGCGTCTATGATGACTTGGAGCGTGAAGGTCTTAAGCGCGCCGAGTGGTTCACCAAGTTTGGCAGTGCTTACGCGCTTCTGCATGCTACCAAGCCTGCCACTATCGGCCTAGCACTATCGGCCAGTCCTGTCTCCCTCTTGGCGTGGATTGGTGAGAAGTTTCTCGACTGGACTGATGATGATTTGCCCCTTGATACTGTCTTGGAGTCAGTTTCACTCTACTGGCTAACGCAGTGTTTCTCAACATCACTCTGGCCATATAGGCAGCTGTTTACGCCTGGTAATATTGGTGCGCATGAGAATCCGGTGTGGCATATTAATAAACCGTTGGGAATGTCTTGGTTCCCTAAGGAAATTGCCCCTGTCCCAGAGGCATGGACTGCAACAACTGGGGACTTGATACTGTTCAAGAAGCATAACAAAGGTGGCCATTTTGCAGCGATGGAGCACCCTGATGTTTTGTTAGCAGATCTGGAGGAATTTCTTAACATGGTTAAGCCCTCGATTTAATAAGTATGAGATATACTTCCTTGATAATTCATGATTGTCACTTGGCGTCCTAGCCACACGGCCCTGCATGGTAATATAGATCTGCCATTCGCAGCCAGACATATGCAATGCCTTTTACAGTTTAAGTGAGCGATGTGAAGATCTCCCTAGGATGATTGTTTCCGATTTTCTCATTCACTTGCGATCTGTAGATCATTGTGGAAACCTTCCCGATCAAGAACTGGCTTGGAGAACTAAAACATAGCTGCAGAACGAAAGCCAATGACGATGCAAGAACGCCACAGCTACATCAGTCAGACAAAGGCGTTGATCCTCACCAAGAGCAGTTTCACAGGGACTGTTCAGAAACATTCCCTGTTGTAAATATGGTGGTAGAGATAAGGTTTGGGCGGCCGAGATCTATCTCACCAACTGGCGAGAAGTTGATGGCTAGTGGCTTCAAGTCAAGCAATCAAGATAAGGGTTGGGCCTCTTTGACTAGCTAAATAGTGCAAACAGCATATGGAAGTGATCAACACAAGCTCTTGACACTGCTGCCGATGCAGTGGTTGGAGGTTACCAGGTGGCTTTATGAGGCGTATCTAAGATTCAATAGTCCTTGACTCTATTACCCCGCCTTCCCGCCTTCTTACGTATAGGCCTGCTGGGACATGAAGACAATAAGGCAATCAATCGTAGGGATGAATCTTCACTTTCTCAACTCTTGTCTCTAATTGCAGGCCTCGCAGCTATCTATAGTATTTATTCCAATCTATTGCCCTTTCCATTGACCAAGATCTTATACTTTGAGTATCACACTATAGATCAATCAATATGGGTGGCCGGCACCGCTTTGAGAGGGTTAAGGAATATTTCAATGCGAAAGAAGGGAAAGAAGAACCCAGCACCGCTTCATCAACGGTCGGTGACCCACGCCCACCCAAGGATCCCGATATAATTATAGATCCCCAATCACCTCCTGTTGACAAAAAACTACCTCTTGTCGGCAGCGAGCCAAAGAAAGAACCCAAACAGAATAAGCTCCAAGAGCAGTTGTGGAACCAGGCTTATGATGAGCTCCGACAGAGTGAGAACAAGTACATCGCCCAATATGAAGAGATCCTTGTGTCAGAGCTCAAGAAAGACAACCCCGATAGTGATACAGTCTCACTCGGAAGCTCCCATAAGGAGCGGTGGCGACAGATGCAACGTCTCGTCCAGATTGGCCTGTCTAAGACTGAAAAAGCAGCCAAGATCTATGAGAAGGTTAATGATGGACTGGAACTCTGTGGCACAGTGAGAGCGCTTGTTGAACCAGCCGTATCCGCCGTTCCGCAAGCTGCAATCCCGTGGGTAGGAGTTTGCTTCATCCTCGAAGTCATTTCAAACCCCGCGAAGCAACCAGGCGTCCATCGTGCCGGGCTCCAGCATGTTCTTTCGCGTGTCAATTGGTACTGGAACCTTGCAGAGCTTCTCCTTGAAGACGACTTGGAGTCGAAGGACAACGATGGAGAGACCGCGATGACAAAACTACGACTTGAACTCCAGCCACTTGTGTTTGACTTGTACCAGAAGTTTCTGTCTTACCTGATAGAAAGCATCTGCTACTTTCAGAAGAACCGGGCCACTGCGTTCCTGAAGAGTGTCGTTAATATAGACTACTGGAGTGGCAAACTCAAAGACATCGAGGCCTTGGGAAAAGAATTCGATAAGCAATCTCAGCAGTACAATACGACAGAGTCCCGCGAGAGACTCAAGACTCTGATTATTGGTGTCAAGAGCATTGAGAAGGCTATCGATCGCCAGACAGAGCAGCAAAAGAAGCTGAACGAGGACGAAAGCAATATACATTGTCTTCGGGCTCTCTATACAACCAATCCACTTTATGACAAGGAACGGATTGAAGAAGTAAAAGGCGGACTTTTATCTCATTGCTATTCCTGGATCTTCCTTACCGAGGGATTCCAGACTTGGCAACAAGACCCTGATTGCAGGCTGCTCTGGATCAAAGGGGACCCTGGCAAAGGCAAGACAATGCTCCTTTGCGGCATCATAGACCGCCTTGATGAGATGACACCAGGCTTGATTCATGCTTCTTCTATCAAGCTACAAGGAATCATCAGAATAGTGCCACTGCTGTTCTTTGGGGGATAATCTGGAGTCTTGCCCATCAGCATCCTGCTTTGGTCTCCCATGTGCGCAGTGAGTTTGACAGCGCAGGGGAGCAGGCGTTCAACGGACCAAACAATTGGGAAATTATGTCGTCCGTCTTGAGGAGAATGATATCAGATAGCAACAATCGGGTCCCTGAGGGTACCACTATTGTAATCGACGCCCTTGACGAATGCACCAAAGACAACAAAAAGCTCCTTGATCTGATTGTGGACTTTTGCGCTAGTAAGGAATCTCGAGTCAGGTGGATTGTTTCGAGTCGTAATTGGGTAGAATTTCAAGATGCCTTTGTGAAGAAGGTCGTTGCCCCGCAGCGAGTTATTGTGTCTCTCGAAGATAACGAGGAAGCCAAGGAATCGATCAACAATGCTGTTGATGCATTTATAGAGTACAAGGTGGGAGAACTTGAGAGAATCAAGGAGACTAAACTCGAAGCCGAGGTTCACAACATCTTGGCCGAAAGGTCTAGTAGCACCTTTCTATGGGTGGCTTTGGCATGTCAGAGATTTCTCAGTAGCGATATTGATGATTGGCAAATCCTCGATACACTGAAGGGATTTCCATCTGGCCTGAAAGATCTTTATAGGCGCATGATGCAGGAGGTTAAGGATTCCGGCCATGCATCGCAATGCAGGGATATTGTAGCAGTGGCCACTCTTCAACGTCCTCTATCATTGGGAGAACTGTCGTCCAGTGCCCACTCTCTCTTCCAGCATTCGAATAGACTTGATATCCTGAAGAAACAAGTCTTGCGTTGCAAAGGGTTTCTGGTTGTCATAGAAGACGTGGTCTCGTTTATGCATCAATCCGCCAAGGACTTCTTGTTGGATGATTAACTTGCAAGGGAGTTTATTTGGGAAGTTGAGAATGAGAAACAGTTATCAGAAAGTATTCTGCGTGGTCATTACAATATCCTGGTGGCGATGTTGGAGACGATGAAGAAGACGCTCAAGTACGACATTTGTGATCTCAAGAAACAGGGTGCAGATGTACTGTCTGTTTACCTGAAGGATGCCTTGGATCCCCTTTCCCCGATCCAGTATGCCTGCTGCTACTGGGCCGATCACATCTCGAAATTCGACGACAAAATCGCGTCTTCTACCCTCGAATTCCTCAAGATATTAGTGCTCTACTGGCTAGAGGCCTGCTCGCTACTTGGAAAGGTAACTATGGCACTGCTGGCAATTCAAAGGCTGAAGAATCTAGCGGTATGTCCTCGTTCTGTATGTTATGTATGACTGTTCTAACAGAGTCCCAGCTTGCCTAGAATACCACGAATTGATTAGTGTCCTGCGAGACATTGATCGGTTCGTCCTGTATTTTAAAGGTGCAATCGAACAGTTGCCTTTACAGATATATGCATCAGGTCTCCTCTTCAGTCCGAGAACTTCATTGGCCAGGCAGGCATTCAAACAATATACCCTCGAAACGTCATGGCTTAATCTACCCATCTCAGAAGACTGGGATGCTTGTGTCCAGACACTCGAAGGCCAAACATCTACAGTTTCCAATATCGCCTTCTCTGGCAATGGTCAATGGTTAGCGTCGACCTCTTATGATTGCACAATCAGGATCTGGAACGTGGCGACGGGTGTTTGTCTACAGACTATACACAGCCCTTATGTAGAGGTGCATGCAGTTGCATTTTCTAGTGACAGTTCTTGCCTTGCGTCAGCATCTGAAAACTGCACGATCGAATTTTGGGATACCAAGTCAGAGGAATTCGTCAAGACTCAAACAGTCGATACTCGAGGAACTGTCATTGTTGGTCTTGCTTTCTCCCCGGACGATGGATGGCTTGCCTCTTGGTCGTCTGAGCCCAAGGTTGAGATTCGGAATGCCAAAACGGGTGATTGCATTTACAATATTCTAGTGGAGCAACGACTTCCGATCGGACCAGAAATTCGGGTTTCTTTTTCATCTGACAGTCAGCGTATCTTGCTTGGCTCAGAACAACCTGGCATCCGAGATATCGTTAGCTGCGAATGGACCAATTACCATGAGGTTCATCCAGAACGGCTTTTGACATTGGCTTTCTCTTCATAAGGAACATGGGTAGGACACGCCTTTGGCGAGCACGGTCATTCGATTTGGGCATTTTCCGGGTCAGACTCTCATCGAGTGGCAGATTTATTGAGAGATGACGGCTACGCGTGACCATCCTCAGGCCAATATCCAGCTGGAAGACCATTGCCAACACCGCAGAGGCCCTCAGCCATTTCTAACGACGGCAAACAAATTGCAACGTGCACTGAATACCCCTTCCGGCTCGCCATAGCTGATACCACTACCGGAGCCGTTGCATTTGCACACCCCCGAACTGCAACAGGGGCTGGAAATGGTCTTCCTATGGTAATGGCTTGGTCAGCCAACAGCCAGTGGCTCGCTGTAGGGGGGGTTGGAACTAATGGCCAGATTGGAATATGGAATCCCAAAGCGATCAAAGATGGCAGCGGGACGAATGAAATTCACAAACGCATAAAGTCGATGGCATTTTCTACGGATGGTCAGAGGTTTGCCTCGGGCTCTGAAGACGGCATTATCGAGATCAAGGATATGTCACGTCTTGGTGACAGTTCGTTTACAATTCAGTGCCATGATTCTCCTGTCTATGCGATAGTATTTTCCTCGTCAGGAAACATGCTTGCAACCCAGCGCGCGTTCTTGGTCAAAATCTGGAACATCGAGGCTTCAGGGGAGTGCGTGCACACATTTCAGGCAGGTCAAATAGACTTTCGACTCGCTATAACATGTCACTGGTCCATGGCATTTTCAACGGATGACTCAAAATTCGCGTTCAGTCAAGGAGAGAATGCCATCGAAGTTCATGACCTGGTAGATCAGAGCATGCATGAACTTGAACTGGAATATGTTGCCTGATGGCCTCTCTCTAGCAGCTGGAGATATGCATGGTACTGTTAAAGTCTAGGACTTACGAACCAAAGACGCCCCGAAGTGGATATTCCAATCTGATGGCTCGTCACTTGCCGTTGCTTATTCATCTGATGGAAAAATACTTGCACAAACAACCTCGACAGGGGAGATTTCCGTTTAGCAAATCGCCTCGGAAAAGCGCCTCCTAAAACTTAAGACTGAGTGGCAGATTGAACAATTATCGTTCAGCCCTGACGACAGATCGCTCATGACTGATCATGGCCGTTTGATGCCGGATGAATGGCCTTCTAATACTGAAACACAAAAGGATGGCATCCAAAACAACGATGATCAAAATGAACCCTCGGATATACCGTTTACCATTCAAGGCTATGGGATCGACTTTGACGGAGCTTGGTTGACAAAGGATGGTGAGAGAATAGTTTGGTTGCCTCCTGAGCACAGGCCTAGCTCAGCCCTTGTTATGGATTCGGTAATTGCAATTCGCAACAGCTCTGATCAGTTGATGATGTTTTCTTTCCGCAATCAATAATGTTAGGTATTAGTCTATATTTTTATTTGCACATTGAGAACTAATTCAAGTAATCAATTATGTGCTGGAGGGTATCTTGCAATACGCCAAGTTTCTTGATTTACTAAGCCTTGGGAATACTGCATTTTGGCCTTGTCTTTGGTGTCTGCTTGGGTTTGGGACATTCCTGGCTGCTGCAGGGTTCTTGATACCACCAATTAGCCGAGGTGCAGAATAATCCATAAGGTTTCCATAAGGTTTCCCTCGTCGGCCGTCTTTCTGCTACCCTTCTTGAGATTCTTGAGGCCTGTCAAGCTATGACTGCTAGCGAGAACCTGACTGAGGATGCCATACGCTTGCTTTACTATATGTTTCGGTATTAAGTCGCCAATAGGTTAGAGAGACTTTTAATTAAATAGTATTGAGCGACTATTTAGTAATACAACTATCTACGCATCTCTACAAAGCTAAGCATATATATAAATATTAAAAGATTTGATAAAATAAGTTAGTAAATCTAGCTTGATTCCGGCTAGCTGGAAAGGGTCCTGGTGCTAGGCAATCACCACGTGATAATACCCCGCGAAACTCGTTACCCCAGATATTTGCTAGGCCTGGACCGCCTGGCTAAGGAAAAACCCAACAGTTCAAGCATCTTCCTTACCTCGTACATATCCAATTCATTACTTTTATTATAATGTCAGAGCCAAATTCTACTGTATGTCCTCAGGTTAAAATCCTCCTGCCACATCTCTCTGCTAATAACTGTCTAAAGCGCGCTCTCCAATGTCCGGAATGCACTCTCAAGTTTTCGCGTCCAAGCCATCTCCATCGGCATCAACTCACGCATTCTGCATCCAATCACAGACAACATATATCATGCCCATATTGCCCAAAGACATTCAGCAGACGCGACGTTCTGCTGCGCCACCTTCGTCATGGGCATCAGGTTCAAGAACAATCGAGACGATCAAGTCAGAAGTCGTGTTTCCGATGCGTTGAACGGAAGGCGAAATGTAACCGTGAAAGACCCTGCAATGGCTGCGTTCGGTCGGGTAGCGATTGCGCGTATCCTGCGACAGAGAATATAAATGACTGCGGGCCGAATGAGGGCGCTTCTCCTACGGGACAGTCATTTCTTCCCTCCAACGCGCAGCAGATACAAGAACAACAGGATGAATCGTTGACCTCACAAGCGGAGGACGATACTTCTCCCTTTCAACATGAGATAAGATCTGAGAGCCTCTCATTAGGGGGTTCGGCAGGGACCGTTCCTTTGCCAACAACATCTACAGTGGATCAAGTACATGGTGCTCAAATCACGGATGAAGATTGTCAAGCTGGCCCTTTTTACATTCTGGACGATGAGCCGACAATCTCTCCAACTATAGACATTCCACAACCCTTCAATGTCTTGCCAGTAGATCCAGCCCATACAGTCTTTGAAGATACGTTTGCTCTTTCCCCTTCGTCCATCCTTCCGGGACAGACAAGTTTTCGGACTGGTGGCTTTGACTGGCTGAACTTTGACATAGGCAACAGTCCCCAAGGCTTCCAACTCGAGACCTTTTATAATAGCTACATACCAGAATTCTGGTCTTCTAGTACAGCTCAACAAGTCCCCGAGTCGGGGGAGCCTGGTAGTGGTGATGTTGGCAATGGAGCGCAGCACAAGATGGGCAATGGAAACTCGAGCCGGGATTCACAAGACGAAGGGCAACCAGACATCGAACAAAACACGCTTGCGTGGCCTTTTGATCAGGCGCATAAACAACCCCCTCATCTTTATCAGCTCCCTCCACTTCGCGATATTCTCAACGGTTATTGCCCCACAGACAGACCACGGCCTGTTCAAACAACACTTGTAAAAGGCTTCATCCAGATCCTCTCTGAGAATCCCCTTCCTCAGCTTGAGACTCTAAGAGACCCTCACTCTATACAAGCTTTCTGCAGCCTGCAACGTCTTGTTGACTCTTATTTTTCTCGGTTTCACGATATTCAGGCGATTATACACAAACCTACGTGGACCATGTCGGCTTGCCCGCCTATTCTTCTCACGGCCATGGCCTCTGTTGGCGCATTGCTCTCTGATAGTCAGTCAGATTACGAGCTCTCAGTAGCACTGAGTGAGATTTGCTCTACAATGATTAACTGGATGGTTGGTTTTCACTTCTCACCTACTGTACGCAATACTGATTATCCAAGGGCGCCTCAGATGCTACCAACTACAGCGATGTCTCATATCTTAATGCGCTATGTCTTTACCAGATCTACTCACTTGGTTCAGGCAAACGACAGCTGTATCAGAATGCAGACAGATCTCGTGGGCTCTTGATCGGTGGCTTACGGGGAATTGGCCTGTTAAATCCCCGCTCTTCGATCACACTAAGTCAGGATCACGAGACCATTCGCTGTTCAGAAGGCGACCATGTTCTTATGGAAGATTGGAAGGAGTGGATCAGAATTGAGTCAGGACGTAGGGCATCTTGGGCAGCATTCGAGTATGACTGCAGTCTTTGCACCCTCACAAGTCGTCGAGGCATTGTCGACTTGAGCGAACTGCCATCTGAGTTGCCATGTCCTGAATCCATGTGGAATGCCTCTTCAGCACGAGCTTGGTTTGCTTTAATGTCTCGCCTTGGCCAGGACGACTCAAGGCCAAACTTATCTAGAGTGCTCAAGCAAGCACTAGCTGGGAGAGAACTGCCATCATCCTTGGGATCTTGGGCTAAGAGGCTCTGTGCGCAGGTAATTGGGCGGTTACTCTGGGATCTCTGGCAAATCGAGGTTGTCGCGATGCCTGAGTACCTCGGCCTTGGATCCATTGTGGCTGCTCACCAAGACACAAAGAGGTCGCTGCTCAAGGGCTTGAATAACTTGGCTGAATCTCTATCTTCGCCATCATCTACAAGTGATCTTACCAGCTACAAGTAAGTATTGAGTCCTCTGCAAGCACTAGATACTGACAGAAATACAGTATAGCCAGTCTTCTTTGCCACTATTCTCACCTCTGTGCGGCAAATGGCGTCCTCGACCTCATCCTATCCATCGTACGGGGCCTCATCTCTACGGAGCCGCGAGTGCACGACGGAATCAAGATGGCGCGCAACCGTCTCAAGTTGACATTTGCTAGAGACCCAAAAACAGCAAGAAGGCTATGCTGGCACGCAGCCCAAATCGTCGCAATCGCTAATGAGTACTTGGTCTCTGCTCCTTGCGAGATTATGCGTGTGTTTATGGGCTACATCTTCATCATTGCCTATTCGGCTTATGGGGATCATACTAGATCGTCGCCAATGGAGGTCACCCAGAGTGTCAGGCTGGACCTGCATGATCAGAATCTTTCTCACAGAAGAGTCGTTGTTAGATGGATTGAGGTCGGGGGACCGGCTAGCTCTGGATCTGTTCCAGATATTGGTGCTGACGGTTGCATCCCTGCCATCAGCTCCGATGCACAAGAGATTTTGAAGAAGTTGCAATGCTGGGGACTGGCTCACAAGTTCACCAAGGTATTTCAAGTATTGGAAGCAAAAGGACTGTAGTATAAAGCGTGGAGTTGTCTATTCTCTCACTTTATATATCATGTTCAGGCGTTAAAATATAGCTATACAATTTGGAGGAGTACTGACGCCTCCTGGCATGTTCAGAGGTGCCGACGTTATAAAGAATTCCCATCGCTGTTCTTCTTGACAAATGTGGCTAAGACCCTCAAGATCGAATAGTTCACCAACTGGCATACCCCATCCTGCAATAAGATACTCATGCATAAATAAACCCTTGACTGAAGCATTCTCTCCTCGCTTATAGGATGATTGCGGAGGGTAAACTTCGAAGGAAATGGCATCACTTGCCACAGCTGAAAAGCCTTCATTCCATATCCATTTCAGCATCTCTTCAGTGCCTTCAACCCCAGCATGCTGCGGATTTGAGCTTTGTGCATAAGCCAGCTTGTCAGCTGCTGTCATCTGCTGATCCCACTCCCTAACGACTCCAATTCTGATGAACAGGATATCTCCATGGAGGAACTTGACGCCTTGTTCCTTTGCGACGTCAAGGAGTACATGGAGCGGGATCGAATGGTCTGAGAATGTCGTGTAAGATATAGAATGGCGTCGAGCGTACTCAGCATAGTCCAGTAGAACACCACGACCGCAGATGCCCTCTTTAGCCCAATGCTGAATGCCTAGGCGAGTATTGTTTCTATCTTGTATCTCACCCGACGTCATTCCTCCGTAGAAGAGGCGACGATTTGGGTCTGAGGGAGTTGGAGCTGGGGCAGAAAAATGGCGGAGCCCGTCCCATTGAGATGACTGTTGAGGGTTGAAGATGTAAACATCGTCATACGCGGCGCCGTTTAGAAGCGAGACAATATGATGTTGGGCTGGAGCTCGATTGAAGTTGGCAATATCCAGTTTGGTCAGCTCCCAGTTTAACGAGGTACGGCGACCTGTCTTGATGCATGTTGATGCCGCGTTGGCTACCACTTCTGGTGTGAGCAGTACGAGACGGCCGAGACCCTCTTCCCTAGACCCTGGCTTGCCGGTCCAGACTCTTTTCGGGTCCGGCAGACTATCATAGTCTCGATAGTGTAATGAGGCTTTGCTAGTCGTAATCATGGAGCCCATGGTAGGAAATTTGGGGGAGCCTATGTATAATGAAGCAAAGAAAATAGATCTCGCGCTCTAAGGAACGGAATTGGATATTGCTTACTTTTACAGGGCACACGTTTCTCTTCCAGAGATTTGAATTGGGCCTCGCTAAGCCAGAAGAGCGTAGCTTGGGAAGCATGATGCGGAGAAGGTCTCGACCCCGTGGGGTCAGCTGCCATTTGCAAGATCCTTAGCCTGACCACCTGAACCGGAGCGTGCCACTGCGGGGTTGGCAAGACACCAGCCCTCACATCAACCGGGAAACATTAATCGAATGCCGAGATTTTCTCATCCTCTTTATTAGCGAGACCTACTTCAGATACCAAGGTGCTGCTCTCTTGGCTTCTAAGGGACACATGATAGCTAATCCCTTGCATAAGAATAAAAGGCGCATGTTGACAGATTAACCACTATGTGATTGACACGTGGACAAGTAGAAATTGAAGTGATGTGTGACGATCATATCATAACAAACAGATCAGATGGAAAGGCGCCCTTTTTACAGCTTTATTTCTTTTTTCTTCTTTGATGACTTGCATTTTGGATTGAATATCTCTCCAATTACCGTTAGCCTTAACAAAAGTATTGAAAATGGCCGAGGAGAAGCCCCGGCCGCATGTCAAGATCCTGCAGAGCAGCTCGATTCGTCTACCTGAGTTTAAACCGTACCAACCTAATCCTGCTCTGAGTCACACACCCGAATTCCAACGACATACTTGCAAAGACTGCAAAAAACTGATCTTGGAGCTCCTTGAACACCCAGCAGGTAGCTCCTCAGGCGGATACAGCAACTCTGAAAGTCACCGTGATGGGCTTCTGTCCTCTTTAGTACATAGTTCTGCCAGTTGCCGCGTATGCGCTGTTATCGTCAACCAGATTATGTCCGATCGCGCTGACGTTCAGCATGAATTCACTCATTATCAGCTTGCTTTGAAAGCCAAGAAGAATAGTTTTTGTGTCAGGCTCACAAATGATTTGGAAGCGGCCGACACCACCACCAGGAGAAATATTTACGGCGAATTTGCCCTTTATCGCAGCGAATTACCGAAGGAGTTCTCTTGGTTAGATTTTGGAATTGTCTATACACCCACGTGGAACGACTTGTCCGTTAGTTGTCAGCCGTATCTTGCGTCGCGAGATTATCCTTGGCATGAAAAGGCAATCGACAAAATCAAGATATGGATAGGTGCCTGTGAAACGGAACATGATCACTGTGCCCAACAACACTCTACCGCCCTCCCTAAACGGGTCCTCAAGATTGCAAACGATAACGTTTCTCTCTATATTTCCCAGAAAAATGATTTGCAAACTCAAGATCAACGCTACGTGGCTCTGAGTTACCGATGGGGGAAAGACCTTCCTTTGAAACTGACCAAGGACACCATGGGCGACTTCATCAAAGGACACCCCATCTCAAAGCTGCCTGAGACTCTCCTAGATGCAGTGCGCATCTCTCGCAATCTAGGCTTCAAGTTTATCTGGATTGACGCCCTCTGCATCGTTCAGGATGATGAAAATGACTGGGTGGAACAGTCGGCCCTGATGGCGGATATATACCAACACAGTAGCCTCAACCTGTGCGCGGCAGACTCAGCAGGCTGCGGCTCAGGAATGGTGGAAATGGCAGCGCCGCACTTGATAGAAATTGCTGCTGCAACGACTCAATCTGCGGATACTGGTTCGAGAGAAACAGTGGCTCTCGTGGGAGGTCCCATCTCCACCGCTATTATTGATTGGGGTAGATGTGGGCTTCTTTCCAGGGGATGGGTCTTCCAAGAGGGCCTCTGCTCCCCTCGCGGCCTCTATGTTAGCCGTTGGCACGGCTTATGGTGGGACTGCGGAACGATGATCGATATGATTGACAGCCGTGAGTCAATATCGACCGGGGATTTTAATCATGCATTCAACCCACGCACCGAAAGGCGGTCCTTTTTGTCTCTTACCAAAAATGCGAACCGTCACTCTATGGCCGTCCGAGATTTCTCCTTCACCTGGTATGACTGGATGGAGCTTTATACATCGAGATACCTCACGCGAGAAACAGATCGCCTTCCTGCCGTAGCAGGTATGGCCTCTTATGTCGCCTCGCTATCTGGAATGAAGTACAAGGCCGGGTTGTGGGAGGAAGATATTACACGCGGACTGATGTGGCGTAGAGGCAGTTCGGGCCACGCCAAGCGAGTACCAGGAGGCGCACCTACTTGGAGCTGGGCTTCGATCACCGGGCCAGTCTATTACGACGAGTTCTTTACCATGCGTGTTAACCACCGTGGGAAGATTGACCATTGTGCCGAGTTGGACCTCGACATCATGGACACGACCATCGAAGAAGAGCGGCCAGGAACATTTGGGAATGTACGGCGCGGAGAAATCAAGGCCTCTGGCGTCATGAAGCACGCAGCGACGATGCTGCTGAGAGAACAGTGGAATACGAAATGGGAATTCGATATACAGCCCAAAGAACCCAAAGCTGAAGTCCTCGAACATTGCCAAGTACTCCGGCTCGCGAAAGCCTACCGGGATAAGGAGGGTACCCCCCCAGTTGTCTATTTTCTAATTATCCGGGAAACAGGCCGGCGCGAAAACGAATACCAGCGCGTCGGTCAAGGGTGTATCATGCTAAAATACGACCAGCACCCGAATCGTTGGGAACTATTTCGTATTTATCGAGACGAAAAGCCTGATTATGGGTTTTTGGAGGAGGAGATATGGGGTGCGCTTAAGAAAATTGCGTTGACTCTCGTTTAAGAGGAAGAGGAAAAGTAGAGTTAATTTAAGTGTCAAGAAAGTAAAGTTACATACTAGCACTACATCATAGCCTTGCTCTTATCTGTTGATTCCTCCATGTGGGTAATATCCAGCTTTCCAATATACTCGTCAAGCTCCTTACGCTGCTCGGCCGGAACATCGTTGACGTGAACGGCAACGTCATCACCAAAACGGGCAGAAATCTCCTCAAGTGACAGTTTGGCAGTCTCGGGAAAGTATAGGTACACGATGGGTATGAAGAAGATGCACCAAATGATAATAACGAGGTAATACTTCCAGCCGATGTTCACGAAGCCAATTGGCGCGGTTTGGAGCAGAATGATGGTGCTCGTGAACTGGCCAAAGAGGGAGAAGCCCATACCGATAGGGCGAATCTCGGTCGGGAAGATCTCTGACACGTAGATATACATCGTTGTATCACAAAAGGTCCTTGGACAATTGTCAGCTGACGAAGACTCCCAGTTCAGGTGTGAAGACTTACCCTTGGAATGCCAGGTATAGGAAAACAAAGAAGACACCTGCTGCATTACCTGCCTTATTGGCCGTTCCGGAAAACTCTGAGATGCAGGCAGCAAGGCCACTTGTGGTGATCAAGCAGCCAAACAAGCCCGTCATAAACATCCATCGGCGTGAATTAATTCTGTCGTGAAGCCAAGCGCCGAGCGGGTTGTAAATGACGCCAGCGGTCGTAAGCCACAAGGCTGAAAGGAGCAGAGGCATAGATCCAGTTTGACCTAGATTGGTGTAGAGAATGACTGAGTAGTTGTTCTGAGAGTGTTAGAGCTTGAATGAAGTGGAGAGTGTTAAGCATCAACTTACGATGATCAGTGGTCCGGCGAACTCGGCGCCCCATTGAGTCAGAAAGCCAATCGCCAACCGTTTTCGGTAGCTCTTCTTCTTGAGGACTGCCATGAAAGGTCCGCAGCCTAGTGCCTTGAGTTTGGCAGAGTCTAGAGCCAGTTGTTCCTTGATCTGGTAGATCTCCTCGCGAGCGACTAAGTCATTTGGATCGTCCGGTGACTGTCGCAAGTTACGAACAACGGTCCATGCCTCCTCAATTCTGCCCTTCTGCAAGAGCCATCGCGTAGACTCGGGGATCCAGAAAGAAGTGATGAGAAGGACAGTGGGAGCTAGGCATTGCATGCACAGCGGAAATCTCCAGGCAAAGTCCGGCTTGCTTGTGGTGAGAAAGTAACAGCCATACCCAAGCCAGCCCGAGAGCATGTAGCCAAAGACGAGAAAGATGGCGTGGTGTCCAACGAGCCATCCGCGTTTATCGTGTGGTGCGAGCTCTCCCATATACATCGGGCAGACCGTGACGAGGATTCCGATACCGATGCCAGCCAAGATTCGACCCGCTTGGAACATACTACAGTATCAAGTCAGCCTTTCGAACGTCGCCATGTCTGAATCAAGCAATTATGCGAGTGAATAGACAAGACTCACCTCAGATTTGCTGCGCCGCCCTGCAATGCTCCTCCCAGCAACGCAAAGGCTCCGCCAATCTGGATAGACCGCTTCCTACCCAGCGCAGTAGCAGCCCACATAACAAAAAGCGTGCCAATGGCGCCACCTGCACTGTAGATTCCATTCGCTGTCGAGATGGCTTCAGTCGTCTTGGTGCTGTAGCCAGGCTCACCCGCCTGAGGCAGGTCGAAGAACTTGTACCATCCTGGCTGTCCGATTGTGCTGCCAATGACGGAGGAGCAGTAGCCGTATGTCTGGACAAAATGAGCATAATGCAGCTTGAGATGAATAGATGTCAGGGAAACTTACCAGGGAGCCAAAGGCGACCGCGACAGTCACCAGTCTGTTGTAAGCAGTTGTATGCTTACCCATTGCTAGCGGGTTGACACCAGAATGTTGGAGGTATTGACGATGTTGCTGTTTAGGTATTGGCTCTTGGTGCTGGAACAGTTTGTCAAGGTAGTTGTCAATTTATCCCCTGACTCTGCCTTCTTATAAATGAATGACCCTCTAGCAAATCCCGGTCTGGCTATTGTACGAAGAATATCATTCGTTTACCCCGTTACCCCGGATTTCAGGAGGTCGGCGGTCCACTTTCCCCACAAGCAAGCAATGCAACAGCGGGGCAACTCCGAAGTGGCTGGCAAGTCTTCGGAGCGTGCCACTTTCTGGGGAACTTGTCTTGACCTTCAGTAATGCCTGTGCCAAAACAGGCCACGTGCCGTTGTAATCAAAGAAATGGCACGTCATTTCCCCCTGCTAGAATTGTTAATTGGTAAACCTCTTTGTGAAGGCTCTTTATGACCAGCAACTTAGTCTCTGAAGAACGATCTACATACCGCAAGAGACATCAGGTCTTGACTATGGCTTCGATTCTGCTAACACTCAAAATAATAAAGTGACTATGCGCGTCAAAGATGACTCATTTTTTATTTTTATTTTTTTTCGTGGTTTTGCAAAGAACGTCGAACGACAATTACTGGCAATGAATTTGATGTATTTTACTATCAACGCAGCTTCTATCTTGTGACAAAGCTCCACAAGATGGGAACGGGAAGAAAGTTTGCGAGAGTATTCGAGAAAGGCCAAGAGGCTTATTCACTTAACAATTGAAACAATAATGAGTTTTAATAGGCGTCTTTTAACACTTTTAATCTGCTATTATTTTGCCTACCTTAGGGTAGCAAGCAATTACGATAAGATAAGTGCTCTGATAAGAGTCCTTGTTAATCGATAAGTGATAAGTGATAAGCGATAAACCTGCTCACCGCCTATGGAATAATTCGGCGAAACGCGGTGGGGTCCCGATCATGTGTTTTGTCGTGATCCAGCTTGACTAAGTGACACTGGCCCCAATTTAGGTTTAGTGCGGCTACAGATAAGCAAGCTGCGCAACTCTCAGGCACGGAGCTACGGGCCCGGAGCCGTATCCCGTATCGTTCATTGCGTGTATATGCCGAGAATGCTCCGTCATGGCTTGGTATTTATATAACAGAGTATAGGAGTTGCCATTGAACATTCTTCTCCTCTTTCCGTCTTTACAGTCATACCAAATCCACAAAAAGTAAACAGCCCTGAATTGACGAGCCCAAGAATGTTCTACTAACCCATCTGTAGTGTCAAACAAGATCGTTCCTCTTACCATTATCAAGGGCGCCGGCCATGAGCACATCCCCATTCCCGATGGAGAGTGCGCTATTATCGCCGACTTCCACTCTATCAAGAGTCAGCGCAACGACTCTGATCATTATCTGACCACGGGTTTCTATAAGGTCGTTCCTGGACCTACACGATATGGATCCTACGACTACGAGGAGACAAAATATGTCCTCAGCGGTCAAATTGATGTGACTGTAAGGATCTCTCCCTGCAGCCTTGCAAGTAAATGATACTGATTACGAACAGGATGAGGCTACTGGTATCACTCACCATCTTGTTGCTGGAGACTGGGCCTTCTTTCACGTCGGTTCCAAAGCTCAGGTTAGTTCTCTTCCTCCCATGGCTTTGAGAATCATGGCTGATCTATATTTAGTTCTCCACCAGGTCGCACGGTGTTGCTTTCTACGCTGTTACTCGGCCTGCAAACGACACTCCTCACATCAACCTCAAGGGTCGTGAGGAGAGCACTTCCAAGTTGTAAAAGTTTAATGATATCATAGCCTGTTAATAGAAAGGAATAAATGGACATTCCATATTGCTGCAATAAAATCATAGCATCAGAATCCAACACGCATTGACCGCGCAAGTGTGCATGAATAGAGTGAGATCATGATCTGCAACTATTTCGCTGGCTTGCGTCCGTATACCGAGATACTTATAATAATTAGCTCACTATCTCTCAGACGTGATTACTTTGAGACTCACATTGGCCAGTATGCATGAATTCGAGGGTCGTTGAGTTCTTTCCTGGCTTGAGCGATGAAAACAGTGACCTCCTCCCTCGACCATCCCAAAGCCCGGGTAAGTGGAGCTATCGCCACAGCTTCGAGAAAGAAATTCGCATTCTCGTTGTTCCATACGCCTAATTCCTTATGATTCTTGTCTTTTGGCCATCGGTTTGTCGGCCATTTAAACTTTGCTTCCGTTACATCTTCAAAGCCAACCTTGGTGAGAACATCCTTTATGTTGCCTGGGTCAAAGTACGGCCTTCCCAGTTTGACGGATGCATCATATATAAGCTGAGCCCACTGCCATAAATTGTGCTGCGGTTTCAAGGTGTTGTCGTCGGACTTCGTAAAGACATCTATCTCCTGTAGCTCTACGTAGCCACCGGGTTCCAGGTTCCTAATACGTGTCAGCTTTGTAGGTTGAAGAAATGAACATGCGAAGAACCTCACTCAAAGATCTTTTTAGCGTAGATTTCCCAGTCTGCAACACTAGAGTTCATCATTCGACTGTGGATGTAATCAAACTTTGAAGAGTATTGCCACTCCTCTTCAATATCGTCAATAATGAATCGAACATTTGGTGGGACACTGATATTGTCAGCTGGTTAAGGAGAAGAGGCGTAGATATCCATACAAGCTGGGCTGAATGGGAGACAGGTCAACTCCGATAACCTGAAAAGAATTAATTGGTGCCAGCAAGGAACAGTTGAGGAACAAACCTCGGCACCTGGATGGTCGTCTGCATAGTCCATGACCCAAATTCCAGTGCCAGTGCCTATATCTAGAACATGCTGGACTTTGGCTCCAGGCTTACACGGAGGGGCAAAGCCAAGCCGATCATCAAATGTTCGAAGGAACAGAGCATGTTGCAAATCTAATCTTTTCAGTAAAATGTCCATTAGATACAGTGAGGCATATACCAAGTCTCTCGTTCTCTTCCTCGTCATTTGGGACATTGTATTCTGTGTAATCAGCAACCGTAAACTCTACTAATCACGGGACTCACTGCCATCTTTGTAACCGTGGTAGGTTCTCCCATTTTCCTGACGATACTGAAGAATGGAGCTGCTTATACTTTGTGTCGATGATTCCACTTCCTAAGAAGGCAGTGTGTCAGTATGTACCCTGTTGAAGAATACTTGGGCTGAGACTACGCGTACCTCGTCATGTCCAGAGTCGTAGTCTTCAATTACCTTGAGATTGTCAAAAAATGTAATTAATAATGCGATCAGCTGCTTACATTCTCACTCTCGTCAGCAACGAGCGGCTGATTATCCACGGCTGACATTATGAGATTGTGAAATCGATTCAAGGACTCGCCAAACGTTATTTCACAATACGAGAGGGGAAATAGAGGAGGAGAAAATCTGGGACCCGAAATGCCTGATATGAGTTTTGAGGTCAAGACAAACCAGGGCTGCTGACCTGATTCATAACATATTGACACGTCAAATTCCGTAGCCAACCTGAGTGGAGTCTCAGGAGGCCAAGAGGCTCCCTGATTCGCCCTCGAGGTGAGCTTGTTGACACATTGGGGCAGGGTTACATTTTACACGGATTTACCAATAGAAGAGCAGGATGCTGCCCGTTATGACAATTGGCCTCCAGGCAATTGCGGCAAGTATCTATGCTACTGCGACTTGCTGTCCATGGCAATTACACTAGGCCGGACTACCGACTGTGATCTAGGATCGGTCAACTGCGTGATGAGCTTCAGGAACAGCTCATTGGGCTCGGCTGATGTGCCAGCAAACTCAACGCAGAAGGCAGGTTAAACAGAGGTAGATGGGGAAGACGGGTCATGCTCCAGGGAAGCACCGGCAGGAATATTGTGCGGAGTGGTGGTTCCGTTGGCAGCATGACCCGTAGCTACTGCTGATAACAGCGGAGTAACCTTTCAAAAGAAAATCATGACAATGGTTGAAGAATAGCTTGCGAGTGAAGAGAAGATACGATATCGAGATAACGTGTTGTTGTACCGTGGAATATATCAGGCGTTGTTTATCTGAATCTGGCCAGTCGTTGATAAATGAAAACGAGAGGCCAGACCAGTCTCGTCTAGAGATCTTACATGAAGATATTTCTAACAAAGCCTAAAGAGTGACATCGAATAACAGGGAAACTAGCCTGGTGAGGAGTTGTCGGTTCGAAACGTCAACTTGACATTCTCTAGTACTACCCTCTTTAGGACCGAAAACAGGCCAACAGAGAGTCAGGAAGGCCATCCAATCATTGACGTAGGTGTAAGCTGCCTTGGTTCCAGAGGCGAGCTGTACAAGGGCTTCTTCTGGATCGTTTGATACGTTGAAACCGAACGTACAGATACCAATACCAGCGACATTTGCCCGGTCTATGATACTCTGAACTCCAGAAGTCTCGAATGTTGATGCATCACTGACGACCACCAGAGTAGGGCATGATATGGCGGGAGATTGCCTTTCCGTCAATGCATCAATCGCTATGCTGATACCAGCCATAGGCTCCTTTGCAAGATCGTTCGGTCCTCGGGATAATGTGCTGGATGAAACATAATCCCAGGTCCAATATCCATCGACGAACTTGGCCACTGAGTATTCCCAGTTTCCTCCAGAACGTGGTCTGATGATGCCAAAACTGTCGCCTTCGCGTAGAGCCCTCTTCGAAGCCTGGATAGCTCCCTCAACAATTTGCACCTTGATCTGGTGTGCTTCTGGGCAAATGCATAAGACGAGGATAGCGTTTACTGGGCAACGAAATGATGTCGAATATTTTCAGTTATCATTATCAAGATCAAGAGGTGCAACATCACCATTAGAGGACGGCGTATGTATTCCTGGTGGTCGGTCTCCAGCCTTTGGACAATTGTGCTTGTTGACTGCTAGGTCGTGCCGCGGTATTCTGTCTGACTGATCGATTGTCAAGGGTATAAGAAAAGACATCCCCGTCGCGTGGTTCAGTTTGTCTACTGGTGGAATTTCACAAAAGGCTGACAGAAGGGGAGAAACAATTTGGTGCTTGCCAAAGCCAGCCATGGATGGTGACTGAAGGTTGGGCCTTATCTGATCTTGGAGAGGCATCCTTTCTTTATATTGATAGGAGACGCATGAGGACAGGGTAAACAAGAATGACAGTGTAAAATGTGCTATTAATTCGGTTGCTAGACTTAAGAAACAAACCAAATGATTCGATTTGAGCTTCTATATGTCTGCTTATGTTGTAACCTTTTGACACGTCCGGGAATTTGTTTAAGCTTCCACCACAGTGCTTAGTGATGGGATTTTCTGACATCCTGTCGTCTGTGCCATGGCAAAACGACAGCGGGTAACCTGTAAGCCCCGTGTACCAACACACACATCATACGAGGCTTTTGTAGACCCTGATTTCTTTGCGTCTTCGCTCCTCTTACTAAATCTCTTGAGTAAGTCGGTCGCTCTCTCATGTACTAGCGAACGTTGGTTTGCTCTGGAGCTGTTGTTTGTGGTATGCGACAAAGTTTAAGTCGGCATGCCAAGGAAATATCTCGTATAACCAGGGTATTAAGGCCAGCATTAGATCCAAACTTTTCACAACGCCACAACTCAAAGCTCGCACGATTTCAGGTCAAACAAAAGATAGAAAAGTCTGTTTGATGTCTTTATCTCCTAAAGCTGCCGAACACTGTCAAGCCTGCCTCCCTCACGCCACACCCAATCGCTAATGAAGAAGCTTCGGTTGGGCTGAAACGTGTTACAAACGCTTGCTGCTGGCTTATCCTACCGAATACTCTGGTAAAGCACCTTCCAGTGGGTGTTCGGTCTGCGGATTGCATATCTCAACGACGGACTTTGATGAGATAAGCCGGCGTCAACAACGCGGATGGAGAGATAGTTGCTAAAATATCTCGACGAAAGTTACTGATAAAGACTGACAGATTTTGTCACTTATTTTGTTGGCCAAATGTCGATTACGCGGCTGCACACTTGGGGGATCTCAAGCTGCATACGGAGTACTTCTGTACACAGTTTTAAACACCGATGTAACGGTTATGGTAGCAATAACGGCGGCTAAAGATTTCCCCTTTCGGCTTATATAGCCCAATTCACAGGGCTTTCGTGATATGCGAGATGGTCCGCCCCCCTCTGATAGCGATTGAATCGTTCATGCGTCTTTCTGCATTCAGACTAGCATTTCCGAATGCCGAATGAAACAAAGCACGGTAATTAGATGACTTACGAAGGAATGGTAGTAACCTTTTCTCGTATATGTCCCGCTAACAGTTGGACTTTAATCCCGGCAGCTAATCATCAAGGTCCTGGTAAGCCAAAAGAGGAAGGTTCTGTTTATCTGCACTGTTCCTACAGCACAGATCACTCTGTATTATTCGTCCTATGCTGTATATAAAATATTCAGTTATAAATGGGTGGTGATAGCTTCTCTTATTAGTTGCATCTAACTCCATTTCCTTCACTTTATGCTCTTAAGAAAGAGGCTAACGGGGCCGTGCTAGGAAGTCAACAGTTTTAGTTGTAGTTAACGGGCTGACGGCCCAGCGGACTGATGTTAGAGGCTAGACGTAAATGAGTTATGTGAAATCGCCATTGCTTAAATCCGGGTCGTAGCCCATTATGCAGTGTATAATTACATGGCTGACGACTGGCTCGATCTTCCTGAAGTATTGATCCTGTCAGCTTGGTGTTTCACAGAAGCGACTGTTAGATATTTTGGCGACGAGCCTGTAACCGCCAAGTTAAGAGTAGAGATGAAAGAATTTGAAGTAGTTCGGTCCAACAGTCGTGCAGTTTATCTCTCCTTCGAGGCCCATGGTATGCACAACATTGCGGCCGACAGTTTATTAAAACATGCAGAGAATAGCTATATTATCTGCCATGGCACACCAGCCGTCTACTTTCTGCAGGTTATCTCACATAGAAAAGTCGATCAGAGCCCAGTTGATGCTGCTTCCGTTTTCCCCAAACTCTTGTGCTCCGGTAAGAAGTTCATTGATCCAACCGGTCTCATTGATAGGAGACGAGAACAGGGTCAGGCCTGGAAAATCCCATTCGAAGACAAATTGGTCTGGGACAAAAGACTCAAGCTCGTTGTCGCAGTTCCTCTCTTGAGTCAGAGGAAAGGATGTTTGCCCTCCTCCAGGGCCTTCTTCATCTTGACCTAGCCAACGCTTATACTTCTGTATACTCGTCTTCAAAAGTTGAAGGTATAGTGAACTGGTATTTGATCGAGTGTCGTCTTTATGTCCCGCAGCAGCGACTAGTTCTAGTTCCTGCAGCAGGATGCTAGCTTTTACGATAAGCTCATTGCTGAGACCTTGCGTCTGCAACTTATCTGTGTCGGGGAGCAAAGCAGATAGCTTGAGCAGAAGAAGACAACAGAAAGTATTCTTTGCCCAGACAAAGTCCATTGCATAGCGGATACTCTTGAGATATATCCTTGGTTCTTGGATGATGATATCAAGATGTTGCTGAAGCGAAGCTCTGGTCATTGATAACATGTTCTTCTGGATGGGCGACATGACGTTGACATTCTCCACGCCTGCAGCCCTTACCGCACGACAAAGAGCCATGTTGTCAGCCCAGCAGCGCTGAACAGAAAGGTTAGGTACGAACCAAGGCATCGATTCGTGATGCGGCTGCGAGATACGTATCCAGTCCTGGAACCAGACATCGATGTCGAGTTTGGCATCCTTGACAAGATCAAGAATCTCTTCGTCACTCAGATGGGAACTCTGGGGCAAGGACGCATATATCTTTGCACGAAGAACATTCAGCTCAACCTGAGCAAAGAGATAATGATCCATCCCCGTAGCGAGAGGGCTTTGCAGGAGGACTCTGCATCTGCGTGAAGCACCTCGAAACTTGAACGTTGGCATCCCTCCGGCATCTACGTGTAGAATGTAGCTCATCACCAATAGATGCAGCCAAACTCTAGTTTTGCGCATGTGCATAGTGTTGTCGCTGTAGGTAGCTTGGTCGGTGTTGTCCATCTGCATGTCTCCCAAGACGGATTCCGCAATGAGCGTATCGTAGGCTTCAGGGAATCCAAGATCCAAGGCCATGCGCGTGGCAATTGCAATGAGGAGTGCCCTTTCTCCTGCATAACAGGCTTGAACGAGAATTGCTTGTACTGTCTCAAGACTTCCCATCAACGGATTGACGATAGCGGCATTGAGCAAGCGTTGAGTCTGGAGCGCAAGAGCTCGCCATCTCGAGCTTGTGCCGTTGAGCACACGACACCCAACTGAGCATATTGTAATAAATAGCAAAGCACTGTTGTTGCGAATAGCTTCCATTGTGTCAAAGCGCTGGTCAAAAACGGGAACGTAGCGGTCACAGCCGGAGAAGAATGCATTGAAGTACAGCCGCGCCTCGTCGTCCTTCATATCAATCCCGAGCTCGGCTGTTGTGGGGGCTACTGTATCAGTCTCGAAGGCTGACCTCGATCTTCCTTGGGCTCTGTTAAGGAATGTAGCAGTGTCTGGAGAGCTAGTGCAGGTCGATCCCACGGGTTGCAAAGGGACTCTTGCTGGTGCAGATGTGTACACACCATGAGCCGGAACGTCGGTACGACTCGCTGTCATGAATGGCGGCTGATCCTCTGCTGGGTAGGTGGTAGGTGAACGCTCCATCACTGAGGATGAATAGGATTGCAGCTGTGATTTAAGAAACTCGATCTCTCTCTGGAGCGCCTCGAGCTTGCTGTAACGACGAATTAGAAACATTACTGTCACCGGTGACAAGGAAGTCGAACAGTTCATGGTCCTCTTTTGGTCTCTCGACAAATTGGCACGTCTTTTGAAGTTGACAACACCTATGTTGTCCATCAGCACTGTGAGTTCCTGTCCGTCCATATAATATACACACCGAGAACATGGCCGTGAGCCATTGCACTTCACCTAATCAAGAGGTAAGCTACGTGCGTACAGAGAGGTACTCGGATGCCTACTGACTTTGCTCTGGCGACAAGCTAGGCATGCTTTCTAAAAGATTCATGTTAGATTCTTTATACATGCATGTAATAATAACTCTAGGTTGAAGCTGGCAAGTTTCAAATGCAAGGCGGATATACCGGTAATCTTTTCTTACGGATACGTGAGGACGGGGCCGTTTGTGAAGTTGCCGCTTCTGAAGGTTGATGGATCTGTGACATGTTGATATCTTTTCATCTTAATATATGAGCCTGGACTGGTATTGAATGCCGAAACGCGCTTCTCATGATGTTCAGTCTCTCCCTGGCGAATCATGTTTGCGCGGGGAAGTTTGGAAGCGGAAGTCTTGTTTCGACGCCTCAGGCAGGAACATCATTTCTCAGTCGTTGATAGGTCTGAAAGACATATATGTGGAGCTTGATCTCTTGGTCCTCTGCATAACGATCTTTATATTACCTATTTAATGTCTGAAAAAAAAAAAAAAAAGACTGAAAATTCATCAGATTGAATTAACTAGCTCAAATATTTTGGGGGTCAAGTGAGTGTTATGATCATCAGAAATAATGCTGTTGCTGGTCATCGGAGTGGACTTTTTACCCCGTGGGGATTCTCGGCAAAGAAATCGGACTTTTTGGTGTTTTCTCCGACCCCGGCGTGAGGGGTTTAGTACTGAACGGGTCACGCGGCAGAGCAGGACCGGACTTGGGCAGAATTCTCCGGCGATGGCGTCGGACAAAACGAGGCAGACCCGATCTTGGCTTCTTTTCGATAGATATTGGCTGTAAATGAGGCGATACTTGCATCCCGAACGCGGCAATGAATGCATGCTGCGTCCCGAACGCGGCAATGAATGCATGCTGCGTCAAGTTAAAAGAGGATCATTCCCTCCTGTATTTTCCTCTTTCAATCGTTAACTATTGAGTTTGTACATCAAAGCTCGATTATTGTTTCATCATGCCTCAACGTGAACGCATTCCCTCGTCGTGGACTGTCGATGCGGCTGGTCAAGACAGCACCAAGCCGTCTGTCCACTTGCGTTGCAACGATGCCACTCTACCTTTTGAGTTCAACTTTGAAGCCGTTCGTCCCAACGTCTTCAGAACCACATTC